TTAATTTTAATAGTTGCCTAAATAAAACCCAATTAAGAAGATAAATTTGCTCCCAGGAAAACATGTGCCATACATTCCAGAACAATGCAGGAATGATTTACTTTGGATGAGTTGGCTCCATTCCTAAATTGCCATCTCCATACTTTTCTTCCTTCATTAGGGAAACAACCTAGAGGGGACAAAGGAGAGCATGGATTGTCTTTTGTAAGCTTTCAAAGGTCATCGCAGGCCCCTGAATTTAAGTCCAAGGAGAAAAGCCAACGGTGGAGAGAACCTAAGCTTGGATGGCATTTTGCGGTTAGTTGTGATGCAACCCAGGAGCAAGTATTAGAAGTTATGTTCTCCAGATGGTTGTGTGTCCTGGACCAGGCCAGAGATATCACTTCATTCCCTTGAGCTTCTTGTGCGAAATATGTCTGGGTTGGAAAACACAACTAATAAGGAGTCTGTGGAAGAAAAGCCAAGTACTGGAAAATTCCTTTCCTTGCAGCTGGACCCAGATCTTTGTGGAGGGTTTCTGTGGGCTCCTTGGAACAGGATTTTTGGAGAGTGAATGTTCACTCTTATCAGTCTTATTAGTCAGAAGTCTTTACTGGGACACTATCACTGCCATGAAGAGAAGGAACTTCATTTTTGAGAATGTACATAGTATTATGAAATTATTATGTGAATGGTTGATTGAGTCGAGATATAGGGTAGGGTTTTTTTAATCCTACTTTTACAGAATGAGGAAACAGAGTATTTAGAAAAATTGGCCAGGAAATGAGTGGGAGGATTTGAATTGAAGCAAATCAGTGGAATCCCATCTAAATGCACTTTTGTAATAGCATTGACAGTAGAAGTTTAGTACTTTCAATGTTTTAAACTTCTCATGCTTACTTCCTCATTTATATAAGGTGAGTATGGGCCATGGAAATGCCTAGTGATTGGCCTAACATCACACAAATAGCTGAGGTCACCCTCAGAATCAGGACCCAGGGGCTTGGGGATTATTTCAATGAACTGCCCTTCAGTTCTTAATGTAGTTGGGCAATACAAAGTCATCAGAGTGCTGCACAATGACTCGTTTTAGTTCTTATTCAAGATAAGATGCACACAGTACGACATCATCCTTGAGGGGCATCTCTGTTGGTTGATGTGGAAAATTAGGCTGCTTTATTCAGAATGAATCTGTAAATGTGTATATCAAATATTAGTAAAACACTTTGGTTTTCTAGGCTTAAACAGTTCTTAACCTGGTCACAAATGATACCTTAGGGCTGAGGAGATAGTTCGGTGTGCTAAATGCCTGCCTGGCAAGTGCAAGGTCCTGAGTTTGATCCCAGGTACTATGTGCCATGCCAGCCCTGAAAGTGGGCATGGTGGCACATGCCTTTAATCCCAGCATGGGGAGGCTGAGGAAGGGGATCAGTACAAGTCTGAACTGCATAGAGAGACCCTATGGCAATAAAAAAAAGATAACTTATCTATAATCAAAAGGCAGAAATGTTTCCACTTGTCAGCAGCCATATATATACCTTTGAGAATAAAAAGTAGGCAGATATTATTTATTAAAGACTGTTGCAAGTAAATGTTCTGGTGTGATAAGTTTTACAGGGCTTGCCTGCTTCCCATGGCTTTGAGAACGAAACGCATCGCCATCTGTTGCAGCACACAGCAAGGAAGAACTTTTTATTCTCAAGTAATGAAAGAAAGAGTAAGACTGACAGAGACAGAGACAGATCATTGTTAGGTTTTTCTTCCCATGTATAGGCTATCATGTTACATTGGAAAGCAAGCTATATACTGATCAAATTTGGAGCTTTTTGAGCAAAGATTGGCCAGAGATTTCATGTCCCTTTCTGGAGTTCCATTTCTTATGATGTTCTTATGTATCTTTGAAGAGTCCAATTTCTGTGTGTTTTCTCAAAGTTTTCTATGATCCAGGAGAAGCAGAACAGTTTTGGAGTATCTGGCTGGGATACCAGGCCAGACTGAAATAATCTACTCCTAGCCTGTGATTCCCGACCTTTTTTGGGACTGCGAATGCTAGATCCTTTAAAGATTTCATCACACCCACTCACTCCTCTTAAAAGTGCTATTCAGCACTTTTAAAATTAAAGTGAATTAACAGTTTGTTTTCGGAGTGTGGGACAGTGTAAAACTGGGACTAGAATTCATTAATTCATTGCCTCAAAGATTCTAGGAAGGGAATTACAGCTTGGATTGGTGGAATTCTTACCAGTATATTTGACATTGGGCAAATGGTGGAGTATAGCCTTGTATCTTCCACAGTCCTGGGCAGTAAGACTTGTTATAAGCACCTTTTTAGTGATGATAAACTTAAAATGGAAAAGGTAATGCTCACGGCCAAGGCCATACAGCAAGTAGTGATGGTAGAGGTAGACCCTGACCTGGAAAAAATGAATGTGGTCATGTTCATGACCTCTTGGGGCCCATTTGGTCAGCAAAAAAAGGTTACTAAAGGCCTATCTCTTCTCTAATGGCCTTCAGATTGATATGACCCGCTGTTGTCACTAAAACTAACACTTTTGGAAATTTACCAAAGGTATGAAACTCCAGAAGAAAGCATTCATTTTGCAGTTATGCTAGCCACAAGGGCATGACCACAGGGAAGACTGATGTTCCAGGTATTCTCAGGGCTCCCGGGCAGATGGCAGTGTGGCAGAGAGGCAGCACTTTGCAGCCTTAGGATCTCCCCGAGCAGTAGGCCTTGTTGGAAAGTCCTGTAGTTTGCAGCAGTTACTCATGAGTTAACAACCAAGGCCTCAACCTAAAGTGTCCCTGCAGAGTGGCTCATTTTCCCAGCTGGGTGTTACATGGGCTGTTCTCCCAGTTTGGGAGCAGCATGAATGGAGACAGTTCTGAGATCAAATGTCACAGGATTGTTCAACCCACTGCAGTAAGAATTTCCTGAATGCCTACTCAGCAAAGAGCAGGACAGGATATGCAGAGCGAGGAAGACTTCTTCCTTTCCCTGAGAGGGGGTTATTATGTAGTCTTGGCTTGGGGTCCATGTACAAATAATTATTGTGCAAGGACAGGTATATTACATTTCTATTATCAGGCTTATCTGGCCTCTAAATCATCATTTTCTTAAAAGTTGAATTCATATCCGATGATTTATTAGCTGTGGAGAAAGAAATGATTTTTATGTGGGTATTTTTATTTTTAATCTGGTCATTTATTTAACTGATGGTAGTGTAGCTCTTTTCCTCACAAGTTTAAAGCTTGTGAAAATAGTAATGTTGAATGATCAAGCATCTTATGTTCACTTCGCCATTGTTGCTATCTTGAACTTTTATTTTTCTGACCTTTTTGCTCTGTTATTCTCTATGCAACCTCTTGCAGGTCTACTACCGCCTCGAGGATGAGTCCAAAACTGATGTTGTGATTACCACCACTTACTGCTTGCTCAGCACGTTCACTTTCTTCTGTTCCCTCCTGACCTCTGTCACCCCCTTTTGGTAAAGTCTTGTGTCCCGCTGAATATGTATCCCACTCTGTTCTGAGTGTGTGGTATCAATTAGCTTCTTTAAGCACTGTCATAGTCTTGAAGAGTTGTAGGTACAGTCTGTTTGTGTGTTAGAGTCTAATCACCAATGTGAAGGTATAAGAGGTGGCATCTGTGAGGGTGTGTCACTCATGATTGATGTGTGTCCCCTTTCATCCCCAGGGCTCCCTTAGCCCCTATTGGCATGTATTAACACAGTAAGAAGGCTTCCGCCATCAGCTGGCACCAAGGCCCTCACCAGACTTCATCTCCCTTGATCCTGCACCACCCACCCCCAGAACTGTATGAAATAAATGGTTGTTGTTTATAAGCCACCCACTCAAAGGGATTTTGATGTAGCAGAAGGGTGTGCTAAGTTGTTACTGTTTCTTGTTCCTGTTTTACAGCTGGGGAAGCTGTGGCTCTGGTTAAACTACTTGTCCAAGGCCACATAAACTGGTAAGAGGCAGAAGCTGGATTCCAAACCAGGCTTACTTCAGGACTTTGAGCACCCCTTAATCACCTCAGAACCTTCACAAATATGTTTCTTCTTTCAGAATTGAAGGCCCTACCAACTCTGCCTCCATTTCCACCCTTTTCTGCCCACCCTGCACACTTCTTGTCCAAACATGACATTGTAATCACCACAACTCTGTTTGTTCCTGATATTCATTCATTTTTAATGCTTTCATCCATTTCCCCAAACTGACCAGATTTCTAACTCTGGAAACACTGTGTATGTTTATTTTGTTGCTCAAGGCCCAGCTGCTGTGCTTTCCTCTCTCACTGTCAAGTGGAAAGATGTTGGCTAGACCTTACCATCTTGAGCTCCATTTCTTCACTGAAAGCAGAACCTGGGCTGGCCAAATAGCTCAGTGGATTAAAGTGCCTGCAAGCAGGCGCAGAGGCCGGGCCTTGGATCACCAGGCCTTCCGCGCTGGCCCTGCCCCAGGGGCATGCTGGGAAGACCATTGAGGCTGGGCGTGGCAGCACACCTGTAATCCCAGCTCTTGGGAGGTTGTAAGCAGGAGGATCACTATGAGTCAGATCTAGTAGTGGGACCCTGAATGCCCTGTAGACCCTTCCCTAAAATACAAAACAAAAAAAGAAAAAGAAAAAGAAAAAAACAAAGAAAAAAGAAAAGAAAACAGAACCCTACAGAGCTCCCCATCTACCCTAAAAGGTATTCATTGGGACCAAATGAAGGGTGTATTCATAAGGCCACTCTGTCCCACCCTTTCATTAGCTGTCATGACTTTTTCACATGTTCATGAAAATGTTATGTCTGACTCCTATTTGTTTTCTGAAGCCTGTCCATATGAGAAGTCCACACAAAGCAGCCCTCCACAAAGTTAGATCTGCGTCCACATTTCAGGTAGAGGAGCATGTGAAACTGCACCTAGAGTCTCTAGTGCAAAGTATCTGCACACTGGGCAAACCACTGGCTCAGGTGACCTCAAGCCTTTAAAGGGCAAACTGTAAGGAAGAGAAAGTGGAAAAAGTCATGATGTCTTTCAAGAGGGAAGGAGATGATTAGAGTCAGCTCAATGTGCTCAAAAAATGAAGAGTTGGGGACTTGCTGGCCAGTTATATCCCAGAAGATGAAGCACTGATGCCATGGGATGGGTGCTTTGCTTGTACCATCTGTCCTCATCGACCTATACTAGACACACTGGCCATGCTGACTGCCCACCGTGGAGGCAAGAAGCATTTATCTAGCCTGCAGCTTTTCTATGGTAAGAAGCACCCAGAAAAGGAAATGGGGCAAAATCCAAGACCACAGGATGAATCGAAAAGGGAAGAGACCAAATCTGAGGCTCCTCTGCTAACCGAGACTCAACTTATCACCCAGAGTGTACTGCACAGAGCTCCCCACTATAACAGTTGCTGTCGCTGGAAGCACAGACCAGAAGCCCCTGGTTCCTCTGTGTCCTGCTCCCCTTTGCCAGCCCAAGAGATCGAACTCCAGAGTGAAAAGATCAATAGGGAATCTGAGCCTAGGCCTGGCCCACAGGCTGAGGAATCAGCAACTGCCTCAGATCCTGCACCCATGAGTCCCACGAGAAGATGAGCCCTGGGCATTACCTCACCCTTTGAAGTTCTGGATGGATCCCAGATGCAGAAGGTCTATGGATAAAAGATGAAAATGTTGAGTTTGACTCAGATGAGGAAGAACCGCCTGACCTCCCCCTGGACTGACTTCTTATTTGTTTCATAAATAAACTATAGGCTCTGAAGTGGCAGCCCAGGAAGGAGACAAGGGCACTTCTGTGTGACATCATGCCTTTCTTTGATGTACAGAAAAGACTGGGCATTAGTTTAGATTGTCACATGATGATCCAAAGTTCTGAGTAGCCCCACAAAATCGCTTCTCGATGCCATACTTTTGAGAAAGAATGGCTTGAATGTGCACATGGAATTGGTGCTACCTGGGCGAACAAAGAGTGCAAGAGAGAATATGAAAAAAAAAAAAAAAAAAGTGGTGTGAATAGCTGGAGGAAGATGGAAGATTAAAGTGGATTAAAAAATGTCCTTTATAAAATGAATATGATGAAATTAGTGACTAGGAATAAACCCTTGGGTGATAAACCTACAGGAACTAAAAGTATTACCATAAAAGCTAATATTTGGATTATGCCTTTGGGGAGAGGGAAGAATCTGTTTTCTTGTGCTGGGGATTGAATTCAGGACCTTGCACTTGCCAGACAGGCACTTAAGCCACTGAGCTTTCTCCCCAGCCCTTAAGAGGGAGGATTTTCTGATTGAGATGAGACATGGTGGCACCTGGAGTAGCCAATAACACAAAACATGTAGTGGAATAAATACTTATTTTACTTATCAACCCGAGCTGGTATTTCTAAAACTGAAAGTGAATTTTAACCAACACAGATGTGCCATCACTGCCGCTGTTATCTCTGAAGTCTCTGAAGTCACTTCTTATTTTTTGATCTGCCTGTGTCAAGAGTACAAGAGCTTTTGTCTTGCAAGAAGCTCCTTGCAAAGTAGCTAATATTTTCTTGCAAAGAAAACATTTTGTTTTCCAAGATATTTTTTGGAATTGACTTCAGAGGTCGAGTGGCAATGGTAGCATGTCTGTGTCTTTTAAAGTTGACTTTAGGTTTTGGAAATCCTAGTTAAGGTTGATAAGTAAAATAGATATTCATTCCACTACATGCTTGTGTAATTTTCTGTCTCAGCATTGTTTCTTCATGAAGTGGGTTTTCAGTAAGCACACTGAAGCAATACCAGTAAGAAACCCAACTGGCACATAAATAACAACACAGAGCCCTAACTGCAAACTAAAAGAGATGGTTTTAACAAGTACATACCCTGGTGATAGCCTACACTGGAAGTGGGTTACCTTTGTAAAATGCCAGATAATGCATAATTGGTGCTTTGTGGGTCATAAAGTTTCTGCTTCAACTATTCCTCTCTGTCATTGTAGGAGAAAGCAGCCATAGACAATACATAAACAAAGGGGTAAGGCGTGCTCCAAACTCAGTTGATTAAGACAGGTTGAGGAGTGGATTTGGCCTAAGGGTGCTGGTTTCTGACCCCCTAATATACATTTTTGAATTAGAATGCTGGCTGGCTCATGTTCTAGGGTCTGTGAGATGAAAAGCAGCCTAGCCTATTGCCAAAGCTTCCTTCAAAGCAGTTACTAGAGGAGACCACCCACTTGTTCTATTATGGCTTTAGTATTTAAAATATGTTGAAAAAATATTTTTTTTGGAACTGACTTTAGAGATAGAGTGGCTGGCCATGGTAGCATGCCTGTGTCTTTTTAAGTTGATTTTAGGTTTTGGAAACACCAGCGCCACCATGCCCAGTCTCAGTTGCTAGCTCAGCACAACCTGGGGGTGGGGCTGGCCCTACATGCCAGGGATCAAATCCCAGCCACTGCACTGTGCCTAGGCAGGTGCTAAGCACATCTTTTTGTTGTTATTGTTTGTTTTATTTTCAGGACCCTTAGGATTTTCTAGAGATTTCTGTGATTATTTTTTGGTCCCACTGAAGGAAAACAATATATTATCATTCTATTACTTAAAGATAGAATGCTCCATAGCTAGAATAATTATACTACCAATTTCTATTTGTTTATTGAAGGGAACAGTTAATGCTTAAAATTTTTATTTTGAGCAATTTTACATGCTTAAATCTGGCAATCTGAGCAACTACTTTGAAGACAACAATATTCAGTGTAACAACCATTGTTGAATTCCTGTGTCTTGTTTTTTTTTTTTTTAACATTTTACATTATTTCTAAGATTTCTTATTTTCTTTAAAATAAAAATCTAATTTTTGACCTCAAAAAAGAGTGAGGATAGGATGGTGTTAATTTTCTTTGACTGATAAAGACACATGCCACTATGTCTGACAATTCCATTGGGCAGGTGGTACAATCTTTAAAAAAAGTTGATTCTTTTTACTCTATACTGTATCTATTTGTTTATTACTATTACTTATTCAGTCCAAATTCTCATGTTCTATTTTCTATGTAAATAGCCTGAAATTGCTTACCACTTAGGTATTTTTTGTAAGTCTCATGGACAGCAGATAACTTAGATCAACACCATATACAGTTGGCCTGCTTTTTTTTTTTTTTTTTTTTTTTTTTTTTACCTCTAAAATTCTCTTTCTTCTTGATTTTATTTTATCACCATGTTAATTTTTTAAAATATGTTTTACAAGGGGGGGGGTGAGACAGCTCAGTGGACTAAAGCACCTGCTTAGGCAAGCTTAGGCAAGTGCAGTACCACGGTTCAATCCGCAGCACCACATGCCATGCCAACCTCACCCCCAGGGCAGGCTGAACTGGCCAGAGTCTGGGCATAGTAGCTCAGGCCTGTAATCCTATCGCTGGGGAGGCTGAAAGCAGGAGTATCACCCCAAGTCTGAGCTGCATAGTGAGACCCTACAACAACCAAATACATTAAAAAAATGTTTTACTGTCTTGGTTTCTGATTTGTGCAATTTCACTCCACCTTTGACATTAACTAACAGTTTTCACTTTAAAATGCACAAAATACACATCAGTGTATCCACCGAAGCTATTCTGCTAGGCAGCTCTGGGCCACTTCGGGAGGGTAGCTCTAAACCGAAACAAGTTACAACATATCTTTGACATAATTTATTCCTGCTTTCAGAAGCCAGATGAGATAAACATTCTCACTAGAAGAGAGTCCTATCTTATCTACTGCATCATGAAGTTTGGAAGGAACTTGACAGAATCATCTTGAGCAGAAAACTAGCAGAGGATAGGAAAGTCGACTTTAAGAATTTGAAGAACTGGTTACATAGAAAACAGTTAGATTTTTTTCTCTATGAATCAGAATTCATGGGTAGAAGTTATACCAGTGAAGTTCTGCAGTTCTGATATGGTAGGTGAAAGCCTGTCTGCCTCATCACTGGTGTAAGCTTGGTTGTAAAACCAGTTGCTCATGGTTTCCTGCTCTCATGCCCCAAAATGTGACTTTTTAACTTCACCCTCACGATGTGGATTCTATTCTCTCTTCTCTTACTGCTGACCTGGACTTTTCCTTGATTTTGTCAATAGAATGCAGTGAAAGTAAGAGTCTGGAACTTCTAGACTAGACCATCAAAGCACTGCACTCTTCTGCTTTCTCTTTTGGTACCCTGCAATTGCCCCAATTTGTGGGGCAAAAGGATGAGGTCTAATCACCCTGTTGCTCTAGCCAGTAGTTTGCCTGCTTCTAGAAATGACTTAGGCACCTGACAAAGGGGACTAGACAAGATAAGTGAGCCTGGCTCAGATCAGTAGACCCAATCAGTTGACCTAGATATAACTTTGTGATCAATAATAAATGCTTACAGTTTTACGTCAGTGAGGTTTGGAGTGGCTTGTTATGTAGCACTGGTTAATTGATAACTCGGTGCAATTCTGGAACCTGGCACAAATGCCTACCTGCCACAGAATAAGCTTACTACCTACTTTTTGAATAAAACAAATGTGAACTGGTGACTATAGATTAGTACCTGGAGAATCTGGCCTTCTGAAGGATGACTGGTGATCCTTTTCAGAAGGCATCTTGTTTCCAACTTTATCCATATTCGGGCCTGTGTAGCTCTTTCTTGGATCGTGCTTCTAGCACCCTTTTGAAAATGTTTCCTCCTTGCCTCATGTCAAGCACAACTTCATTGTGCAAGTGTCTATGCACATTTTCAAGAATGACCCGAACACCTCTAAGTCTCATTTCGCCCTCATTTTCCCGGGGCCCTGCAGGTGGTGAGCCCAGAGGTGCAAGCAGCCAGACGGGTCCAGCAGGAGGGGCGGGAGTGGGGATTACCTCTGAAATCCTTCTCCAGCTCTCGCAACCACTGTCTGTTTAATATCACGCAGGCATTTTCATTTCAACAACATTAGTTGTATTAAACTTTTTCCTTCAGCCCTCATAACTCTTTATTTGTAAAATTTGAGGAAGATCATGTTTGCCTATTTTGTCACATGAGACTTTTCTAAAGATAAAGTGAAATAAAAGGCAAAATACATTTTATCCAAACCAGTGTGCTTCAATAACATTTATTTTATTTAAATACCAGCTAGTATTAAGCTAAGATAAATGCTGTCAAGCACATTGTCAATTTTAATTATACTTTCTACTTATGTGGAGCACATTCTCTCAGGACATTCTCTAACTATTTTTTTTTTTTTTTTTTTGGTCACAGGATTTTATTGAAACCACTTTATAGCTCTAAATAAATTTCTATTGCTTCCTTTTTAATAAAATGATGCATTAGTGCAGAAAGTAATAAGCTATTTTACAGTTAAAATATCTTTTTGTACTACTGTATGTATTATTTTTTAAATAAAGTGTTCTTTGGTGTCATTAGACCTACCTACTACTTTAATACTGTACTTTAATTTTGATAAAAAAAAATATGAAGTAGAGATTTGATTATTTGAATTCTAGGCTTTGCCATACAACTACATTTTTTTTTCTTTTTTTTTCTTTTTTTTCTTTTTTGGCAAAAGCACTATCCCTGATCAGAGAGGCATTCTCCTGGTGGCAATACAGCCCCTCAAAAATCACATTCTGAGTGCTAAACTAGAGATTCTACCTATAAAAGGAAAATAATAAACATGAAAGAGTCTACAGTCATGCACATGTGTGAGTAAGTTCTGGATTTCTGAATGTACCTTTTAGACTGCATGAATTGTCACTGTATTTATTGTGTTA